AAACGTGATCTTCTGAGAGTACTATTTGCCATGTTACGCATTTGTAAGACGGAGACAACATATGCGGGTACGACGTCCTCTTAAGTTTTGATTCAAGCATAATATTTTCTCTTTATTTTTATTATACGAGTAAAAAATAATAATAAATTTATTAAATAATTATTTTGTTATATAAGTAGTTTTAATGTTAATTATTTATTTTGAAATTGAAAAATTCAAGAAACAAAATTAAGTTTTTTTTTTATACAAGAACAAAATAAATATTAAAAACAATTTTGTTGCACATAAAAAGCCGCCCTATGCAGCTGCATAGTTCGCAGTGCCTTAAATCTGTCCCTGTGTACATCGACATGACATGTGTATAGTATAAGCTAAATGCATATTAAATAGTATATTATTATTTAGTTCAAACACAACAATTGTTGTTTAAATAAATCACACATTTTTAAATTTCTATTAAGCCATATTAACTATATTAATAGGTACTCAAATTAATATTTTAGACTCAATTGTATAATATACATTTTACAAACATTTAATTTTGAAAAATAATTTAAATCTATCTACTATCGTTACATTTTAATAGCTCACTCATTATTTTATATTGAAATGTACTAAATGGCAGTTAATATTTCATTGACATAATTGTTTATTATGCAGTTTATATTATTATGTAACTAATTTTATTATAATGTAATATCTAGCAAAAATAAAAAAAATAAGGTAACTAAAATAATATTCTTATTACGTCATTGATTATAACTAAGCTTATTAACTATCATTTGCAAGTTTTTTTTTTTTTTTTGATAGTTTAATAAATAAACATGATAGATAATTTGATAGTAAGCACTTAATTTATTAAGGTTACACAGAAATTTGTAAAAAAAAAACTTAAACTTATGGACCTAATGAAACTTAATCAGGTATTTTTTGTTTTGGTTACTGGTTATATTTCAAGTTTATTTGTTATGTAAGTTAATATTGGTTATTAGTGTAGTAAAAAATAAAATAAAAAATAACTACTTTTTAATAAATATTTATTATTCAATATTTATGTACATTAAGAGCTATATAAAAAAATGTACAATAGTGTTTTATGATTTTGACTAGAATGAGATATATAGTTGAAATATTTTGAAATTATAAGCTTTTGAGTTATTTTATTCAAAACCTCAATTTTTAATCAGTATAAATATTTAATTAAATAGATTCGAAAAACAAATGTTAATTTATTATTTCAAGAGCTGATTAAAAATAGAAACTTACATTATACAAAATACAAATGGAAATACAGTGCATTAACGTCCTGTGAAGCCATATTTTTTTAAGTTGATACATCATAGCTGCTCTGGCATTTCCTATGTTTATAATTTTTGGACATCCGTCTCTCTGAAATAATAGAAACTTCATGAACTTGAATTATTCATAAAAATGTAGTACAATTTAAATTATAACTTACATCCTTTTCTTGGATTGTACATTCCTTACAATAATATGCATCCGCTGTCCCAATTCCACCGCATATAATACATCGACCCTGGAATGAACCATAACTGCATTGATCGCAAATGCGTACCTTTGCACTTGGTCTGATATAAGAGTCACAGATAACACATTTACCATCACATTTATCACACAGTCGTCCAATAGCTATAACAAATATAACATATGTTAAATAAAATAGAAAGTTTATAACAAATATTGTATTACTATAATTAACTATAGATATGAAAATATTATAAAGGAATATTATACACTTACCGACGCCGGGTTGCTTACGACAAAATAATAAGTCTAGATGATGTTTAGCCATCTTGAATGGTTACTGTTTAACGTTAAATAATATAGGTAACCAATAAATACTAAGTGATATTATAAAATTTTAATTGGCCTATGAGTAATGGCTATCTACTATCACGCTGATCACAAGCTCAGCCAAAGCCCAGGTCACATGCAAGTGTATTGATTATTACTTATCATAATTCACAACCACCTCAAAGATTTGAATAAATCAATACCTGTTTCTAAACGTCAGTGTCGCCAAAGTGAAACAGTATAATTCAAGATTATATATAAAGTAAAATTAGCCATTGTTTAATCTACTTAACTCTTATTAGACTTAAAACTTATAATTTATAAGTCTTAGACAAAAATTATGGACTGAGCGTAGAGAAATAAAATTTGGAGATATAATTCTTAGAAAAAAGTTAGCAAATAATTAAAAAACTTAGTCCATTTCTACTCATTAATAGCGAGGAAAAGAGAGAGCATTTTATTAACAATGATAATTTTGTAAAAACTTTTACATGTTCGAGCAGAATTCCCTAAATTTTGATTCTCTTTTATTAAAATGACAATTAACTGACATAATGATTATGTATGATAATTAAATTATAATATCGTTTGTCCTATTGCTTTAGTTCAAATTAATTTTCATATCCATTCCTATTATTTTCGAAACTACGATATTTTTGTCATTCGATATGATAAGTTTAAAAATTTAAAAATTTAATTTTAACTCTTTAAAAAGTAAAAAGTTTTACTAAATACTATTTGTCCTAAGTCACTTCCTAATTTATTTTGACTTTGAAGAGATAATTTTAAAATTGCTAAATATTGCATTATGTTAACATTATATCACCGATGATGCCTTAATGTCATCAAAAAGTACTGTAATATTGTTGGGTGAAAAGGGAAAGTAGTTTTAAAATATTTTGGCAATAAGAGAGGAAAAGCGAAAAGTCCCACCTCTAATAATGGTAATCAATGCTTGATTTGTGATGGGGAGGGGGTGACACACGAGAGTCACCCTTCATTTTAATATTTTTTTACCGTACCCTTTCTATTTGAAATAGAACGTTAGGAACGCAACATTTACTAGTGAATTTGTAAATCGTCAATTTTTTTTTATGCAAAATATACCCAATAACCACAATATTTGTACATTTGTATTGACATTACACGAAAAAATTTTTTTTTAATTTCTTATCATAAAATACTTAATTACTTACTATCTATGAGTCATAATACAGGTAATTTAAAAATTTAAAATGTATAACATATTTCTAGGAGTATGATTGTGAACTGTAGAGGTTCAATTACGGCAGGGTCATAAATAGTGATATAGTGTATCTATGTTATTATAGAAAAAAAAATAATAATGACTACGTAGTATTTTAGGGGGGGGGGGGGGCGGGGAGTCGAAGACCTTCACGTTTATATGTCAAGCACATTTAAGCGTTTACCCACTCACAAAAAAAATTACGACTACATCACTGCTAAGTATCTACCTACTAACATAAATAAATGTGTTATTTAATTAAAATTATAATTGCATCCTAAACATATTATAAAAACATCAATGTTTAACAAAATATTAAAAGAATATCATAAAAATCAAAATTAATAATTATAACACACGTATTTACGAAAGTCTAGTATTTGAATAACTTTTGTAATAGTCATACTACTTATTCTATTTTAATTATACAATTTTAGTTATATTATTCAATTAGTTTTAAAAATCATTTAATAGTATTAAAATGTTTTATATTTAATTATAATATTTAAATATAAAGTACCTACTATTATCGTATCTTAAAATTATTTAAAATGATTGTGTATACAAATAGTTTAAAGTTTTTAAATTTTAGTATCATATTATTTGTGAAGTGATGTTATCGCTATGTATAAATATATTTTTTTCTATTGTGTAGTCAGTACTTTAAGAGTTCGAAATGATGTTATCTTTTTCTTTTTTCCACTAGCGAATTTTGTTTTACAGCTTGGTACTAGACATTTACTCGGCAATTTTAATTAATTAACTTAGCTAAAATTTGAAGAAAAAAAAAATGAGTATATTCGTATTGAATATGTTATTAGTTGATCAGTGACATAACACTAAATAAAAAAAAACATTTAAAATGTTTAAATGACCAATTATAGCTCATTTCCATCCTACTACATTGCAATTGATTTTGAAAGATGATTTTTATTTTAAATACCTACCTACCTATTGTTCGTTATGGCTGGAAGTATATATCTACCTACGTGTTTATATTTTACTGAATTCGTGCATACTACAATATATAACATTTTTATTTATTTAAATTTGCCAGTTGCAAGTATGAAACAAGCACATTGCATTTGCATAATATTACGAAGTACGTTCATATGAATACCCATAATATTACAAGTCTTTAAGTCTATAAAACGCATTGTAGTCCATACATTACAGTATAACGAACAGCGAGTAATTTAATTAGCCTTTGAATTGGTGGCGTGGCGCTACCTTGTGGTATTCGCGTTTCTACATTCATACTGCTTTTTTCACGCCGTATTTTCATCGCCTTGCTTCTCTACATCGTGGTACGATACTCTTACTTATTACCCGCCGGTATAGGGCGTGTTCCAACTTAAGTTGGTAATAACCGTGACCGTTGGCTACACTCCTGTTGGACGCATCGCAGTCGTTCCTTCGTTGTTACATACGACGCCACGCCGCCAGCGTTGTCGAACAATTTGTACGTTATTGTAAACAAAGAGTTGTTCTGATTATCAGTTGATAAGCGCCAAGCGGCTGTTTTTTTGTTTTTCCAGCCAACGGAATATTTCACGTTCGTCGGTCTTAATTGTTCAAAGAAGAAGACAAAGATACTTATACAGGTAATTGTTGTGTAGTGTTTTTTTCAAAACGTTTTAATATAATTGAGCGAGGCACCGAATCTGAAAGTTAGAGCTCGAAGGTTGTAGGTATTACAACAATGTGTTCTATATACTCTCGATTTATTGTTAACTAATCTAGAAATTTAAATTATACAGTGGCCAGTTTGAAAATCGAAAATTGTAAGTACATATTTTGTCAATTTTAGAAAGAAGTGCATATTTTAATGATTTATTTACGCGTATTATTGACGTGGTTTGCGATATTAGCAAATACAAACACCATAGCCATCGTCTACTCTTCTTTCGACTACCACTGCGTACCCAACGACTCCTCGTCATGTTTGATTGTGGTACAAGGGAGACCCGAATTATCGGATCACTGTAATTTGCCGTAGGTGGCAAATGCCAGACACCGATCCATACCGTCGGATCATATCTTTTGGTTACATCCGACGAACTATGAACCACGTGGATATTTGCGTTATCCGATACCTCGTTTATACTACAATGATTTATTTAATTAATCGTAATTTTTATTATTAAAGATTCGATGCCGGTAAACGTGTGAAAGGTTTTTATTAGGAAAAAATGCTGGTTGTCTGTTTTTTGAACGAAGAAGTCAGTAGCGTATAAATAGAGGGGAGGGGTGATGGGGGGGGCGATCATCACCCCTTATGTATGTATCTATATCTACTGGCGATTAAAACTAAAATGTAATTAAACATTTTTTTATTATTATTTAAAATTCAAAAATTTGTCAGCATCAATATCTCCTATACTGTATAGTATATATTATACAGAATTATTATTAATTAATTATTCTATGGTATAGTGATACCTGTAAGCAATGCTTCTGCTGAATACAGCTTCTCTACTGAACAAAGGTATGCATGTGAATATGTGAATATATTATTAACCTTATATCATAATTATTAATTTTTCATTTTGTGTTAATTTATCTACATATTGATTTATCATTTATTTATTATTATTTTACTCTAAGTAAATGATGTAAAAGGACTTTGTATCAGATGGAGTATTCTCCCTTATTTGTTAAAATTCTTTATTAGGAATAGATGTAGTACTGATATTAGTGATCCAAGAGTTTGACATATTACAGTAAGTTGTTTATTGATGAAGTTGGCTTAGATTCATCACATACATTGCTATTGATATAATCAGTATTTCCTACGATAACTAATTGGAAAGACCTTAATATTTAAAAATGATTACATAAAGCTTATAATTTACTATATCTATACTTCCTACGTATGACTAGAAAATTCAAAATAGACAATACTTGTCTTTGAAAACTTATCCTAAATAAGAATTTTAAGTACACCAAAAATCATGATGTGCTTAATAAAAATTCATTTTGTCAACAGTACTATTTTTATCAATAAGAAAATATAAAAAATAAATGTTTCATACAAATTATTTTTATTTGAAATTTATTTTTTAGTTAGTTGTTAATAAATATATTAAAAATTTTTATTTTAAAACAAGTTAACTATTTGAGTCATAAGATAATAATTATAATATAATATGCCAAAAATACTAAAGTTGTTGATTTTTAATTGATTAAAAGTTTATTGTAAATTTAATTTTAAAAATGTTGTTTATTGTCAAGAAAGTCACATTATAGATTTAGTAAAATTAAAAACTATGATATATTAATATTACTGTTAATATATCACTAATATAAACATGACTTCATGGAGTAAATTATGTTTGATATGTTGATCATTCTTGTATATTTTTTATTTTCTTATTTGGTGGTTTTATAAATTGACAAAAATTGTGTTCCTTTATTACGTGCAATGATTAAAATTTCTTAATAAGTCGAATTTTCCATTTTCTTATGCTTGAATCTTTTAAACAATTTTCGCATCTGCATTATTTAGTTAATGTTAGTGTGTTGTTGTTATGCTTACTTAGTGTAATTTTTATGTATTGTAGAGTATAGATATGCATCGTGTTTTCCTCTTATTATTGAGATTATATTCTTTTGTATTGTATTATGATGGTTATAACATCAAAAACTTCACATTCCTTTTTATTGTTTATTATATATTCTTGTTATTCCTAGTATGTGGTAATATAAGCCTATGATGTAATTATAATCTATTTTATGTTGTATGATATATCAGAGAAGTACTTAGCACTAGCTTACTATAGTGTTATATTGATATATTAACATTAATTGTTTTATTATTAGAAGTGTTACATTAAATATTGTTTCCCTTTTATAATTTTGTTATTATATTTTATTTATTATATTTACTATGTTTTTATTAGTTATCGGCCAACTTATACTATAGTATTATCAAAAATGCTTTCAAATCAACAAAATTTGAATTCAGAGGATCAAGATTCAATTACAAGTGGAAACAATAATTCTTTTATGCAATCAACGTTCAACTATAAGTTCAACAATGTACCATTTTACGAAGTTATTGAAGATATTATTAAGCCAACTCTTCTAAAGAGCTCAGGAAAATGTACATTAGAAAACTCTCCTTCAGGTAGTGATATATTTTATGATCACTTTTCTTAGGTTAATTAATTATACTTATAATATCTGTTTTTTTTTCCAGGTTTAATGGAATGTGCATTCAATCATACTATGTCAAACGAACAAGCAACACTTATATCACTGAATCGGGACTTTACAAAAAAGACAGCTGACTTTGTGTATCAATATCAAATTCGAATTTGTCAGTCAGAAGTTGGACGTAGTGAGGTAACTGATTATTTGCCGTTAGGACTTCATATTAGAATTGAAAATGAAACATGTTCTTTGCCACCCATCGCTCGTTATATACAATCAGGAACTGAATACAGACGAGTTGGAAGACCTATCAATTGTACTCAACACTTAAAATTAAGTCCTTTAGTTTCAAACTCCATCATTGTAAACTGGATTCCTGATGAAAAAAACTATGCATTTGCAATGTTTATTGTAAAAGAATTAAATGCTAATACTTTGATAAAAAAACTTCAAGAAAAAGAAGCAAGGAGTTCAGAAGAGACAATTAATGATATTAAAAAACTGGCAGAAGTTAATCCATGTTTTGCCACTGCATCTTTTCATTATTCCTTGAAATGTCCATTGAGTACTATCAGAATGAAGATACCTGCAAAATCTATTCACTGTGATCATTTACAGTGTTTTAATGTAGGTACATATATTTTAAAGAACAAAATGAATCCAACATGGTTGTGTCCAATTTGTAATAAATCTTGTTTATATGATGATTTACAAGTTCAAAATTATTTTTTGGAAATTGTTACAAGCCCAAGACTTCAAAATGACGTCCAAGATATTGAAATTTTTGCTGATGGTTCATGGATTATACCCGAAGAAAAAAATTTTACTGAAAACATAATCAAAAAAGCACCCGTGATACTAAAAAGAACATATTAATTCTTTGTATTTGAATAGCAATAATGAAAAATTGTCTTGAATTGAATCAATCAACAATTATATGAAAAGGGAATGTAAATATTATAAAAGGACTATAATATTTGTGATACAAATTTTAAATTGGTTATTAATACCCTGATCTGATTTGGATACACTAAAGTAATTTTCAAATTTTGGATACTTGGTTCAAAGAATTATGCATGATCTGTTTTTTTATCTTAAAACATACCTTTATAGAAAATTTTTCAAGCCTCATAAATCAGGGGTAGCCAAACAGTCAGTCGTGTTAGAATTTATTTTTAGGCTTCACACACAAAAATTAATTATGATGATATAATAACTTACTAATAAAAAAAAGTTTGGCTGTCCTTGTCATTATTAGTAATCCAATTTTGTAGTTTTTTTTTTTTTAGATAGATAAAAACTTCTTATAGAGCATGAGACTTTGATTTTTAAAATTATATTTCTAAAATTTATATTAAAAGTTTGAATTTCATTAATTTTTACAATTTTTTAATTTTAAATTATTTTTGTTTTCAGCAATATAATCTAAAATAAAAGTTCACTGCCAGTGTACCTTGTAAAAAAGTTTTCTCTCTTTTAAAAAAAAATATTGATATTAGACTTATCTATACAACGTTAGAATTTTCCTATAACGTTTTAAAAATAAGATAATGCATGTCTAAAATATTTGCCAGCATGAGAGTATAAATTGCTTTATTTTATCTCTCATTAAATAGTATAAGCAGGACCCTTAAATAAATATTTTTTTATTATTATTATTCAATAGTATTAAATTCTAGTTATTTAATATTAAATATGTAATTAATTATATACTGATTTTAATTAATTTTTTATAATATTTATAATTTTATTATTAATTTAAGTATTGAAGTATGAAAATATTTGCAACAATAAATTATAATAAACATATGTAGATTCTAATGTTTATAATGATGATTTTTTTTTTTTGTGTGTATACGTATATATATAGTTAGTTGATAAAATGCTTCAATTTATTAACTTTTAGAGTGGTTTTAGATCTAGTTTGTAGTTAGGAGAGATAAAAATTAAAAATTACTAGCATAATATTATGATATAAATGTGTATTATTTTAATAATTGAAGTGCTCGGCCGAACAACGGGAAAAGCGCCAGTCTCGGCATTATTGCGTTTATCGGTGGAATAACGAGGCACGGGTATAATTTATTGTATATGTTCACTATCGCATTGAAATTACAAAGAAATAGATTAAAAGGCAATATTAAGTTAAGTTTTAAGTCGTGGAAAAACGTGACACGTGTCAAATTGTATCATCTATTGTAAAATGCGCTCAGTGGCGCTTGTCCCGTTGTTTGGCCGTGCACTTCAATTGAATACTAATAATAAAATAAATATAATGTTTTCAGCAAAAATCAAATCAGTATTAATACTAAACTAAATGACTTGAACAGTTTATGAAAAAAAACTCATGAAATATGTTTAGTGATGCATCCACTCAAAATTGTTTTTTGTGTTTAATGATTAATCATTTAATTCAGATTTAATACACACATAATAGTGGCCTACTCATAATTTAATGTACAGTAGAGTGGTTACCTTTAAAAAAAATTACGAGAAACGTTTTATTGCTATCCTCTTTGTTAAGTTTCAAAAAAAGATAATTATAATGTATAACCGTGTGTTATAAAAATCTGTGTACAAAAATATTTGAGTGCTCTTATACTTGCATGCATATAGCATATGTTAATGATGTACTTCAAGTATATTAATAATTTTTTTTTTTTTTATCAAAAATATCAATCTTTTGCTGATTGTATAGACTAACCTATTTATTCAATAAAATATCAAAAAGTATGATTGAATTAGTTATTACAGTCAAATTCGCTTATTACGATCTTCAAGGGACCAAGAGAATCTGATCTTTATAACCGAACTTTGTTATATCTGGATTATAAAATGTAACAATACATAAGATATAAAACCAACCAAATACATTGCTTGGAATTGTTTTACCCGGAATATCGTTGTAAACAGCATCATTATAAGCGAATTCGACTATATAGTAATTTGAAAATAACTTACATTTTTAAATTAATTTTTTCCTTCATTAATTTTAAAATTAGTAATTTTCAAAATTTTAAAATATATTTCACTTTATAAAAAGTAGAAAAGTTGTTTTCAAGATAATTTCATGACAAAATTAATTTGTTTTCAGATTTTATTTATTGATAAGATAATTGGTACAGTTGACATCATATCAATTTATTTTTGTAAAAATACAAATTGAATTGAATCTCATTAAAAAAAAAAAAAAAAATTATCATATTGTTTTGAAACATGGTTAACAAAAAAAAATAATATCAATACATTGATTTATAAAATGTATACAAACACAAAAATGTGTTTAGAACTTACAAGTGCATTTGTTATATACTATGGTTATTTATGAATTAGAAAAATCAATCTTTTTTTGTATTTCATAAATTAAAATTAATTAGGGTTATGTTTAATTTAGTTATCTCATTTGATTATATTTAATAAAATTATTGAATAGTAATATTTTGCACATTACATGGAACAGCAGAATTCTAGTGTTACATAATTATAATACTATGGATATTTAAAATTTTATGTTATACCTTTTTAATACTTTTTGAGTTAAACTAATACTGAGTTTAAATCTAAGTGTAAAATGTTTAGTGATAGTTATCACTTTCTAAAATTATCAAATAATGATTCATTTGTGTAAATGTTATCCATCTGAAATTGATATTGAGAAATGGATGTATGAACTGAAAATGTGTAGTTGAAAAGTCCATATTAGTGTATGCTACATTGTTATTCAAGTTTATCTGGAAGCTCTGTCTTGCTGACTATATAAAGAATAAAATATATAAATGTTTATAGTTTTTGTAAATATATTTTAATTACTACATAACTATCAAAAATTAAATTTTATTTGTTGATTTATAATATATCATGATAACGCCTTGAAGGGTAAACGGTGAATCAAAAAAAAAAAAAAGAATAGATAATTCATATATATAATATAAATACATAATAAGAAATTTAATTGAGAAAATGAAGTACAGTAATATTATAAAATATGCTTCAGAGTTTTAACTGTAAATTCTATACCTTGTTCCTAAAATTGTCTTTATTTAAACTATTATGATGAATATCAAAACATATGTGAACAATTACATGAAAGTAGTATATTTGTGTTAATTAGAGAGTAATAAATGTAATACTGTTTTTGAGTAAGTACTTACGATAAAATAGTTATTTGTGTTATTTGATGGGCGATAAAAATGTGTAATTTAAAATATAGTGACAATTCATTTTATTCCAACTATAAATCCATTTATAGCAGTAGTTTTACCAAGGTTTAGTAATCAATTACTTAATGTATTTATTATGAAATGTACGACTAGAAATAGATACACATCAAAATAAACTTAAGCAGAGCAAAGTATAATATTTTAAGATATTATATCTTTACAGATATTAATTTAATTTAATCTAATTTATCATCTCTACAGTTCCAATTGTGCAAAAAACTAAAAATGCAACTAAAACAGTTTTTTGGGTTCAATTAAAACTTAAATTATTGTGAATTTAATGAATAGCACTGTTATTTACATTGATTTCTTGTGTTGAAAGGTCAACAGTATGTAGACAAAAATATAGAGTTGATAAAGGAATTTTTTTTTGAATAAAGTTTATTATGGACTCTTATATTACTTAAGATTAATTATTTTTTTTATTCAAAATGGCTTCAATTTTTTAAATTAGTTAAATTGTATAAAATAATAACTTAATAGTTAAATAAAAAATATCTATAGAATAATAAAAATCAGAATTAATCATAGTCTCAACACATAGTTTGTATTGGAAAACAAATTATTAGTTACCAAAAAAATGCATTAAAACTTAAAAGCCAATATATTATAATATAGTGCAAGTATAAAAATGCTCATAACTTGCTTAAAAACGAAATTATCATAAACAACTTACATGCGAAAATATACCTGTATATAAGGTTTTTAACATGAAGTTTTATATAATTATTATGTTTTTCATACTCATAACCTACTTCAAAGTTAAAATATCGTAAAAAATTAACGAGAGAACAGAGATAATGCTCTTACCTAAAAGTTTGATAATAGGTCAATTCATTTTAATATGAAAACTAAAAGTACACTATTGAAACTAGTGAATGAAAATTTATTATTTCATACGTGTGTAAGATAAAGACAACACGCGCGGGTGCGGTGTCCTTTTAATTTTAATGTTTAAATCATGTACAAGAATATTAAAAACCTAATGATATTTATTGTATCATTTAAGTATATTAAAATATACATAGTAATTAAAAATTGTCCATGTATGTAATGGTTTATTTTGTATTTAAAAAAAAAAAAAAAAATGTAAAAGCTTAAAAATCAATTTTAATAAATTATTTATGTTAATACAACTGATTTGTATGCTCATTTTATAGTTTAGTCATTTAAATTGCATTTATTCGTATTTTGAACTTTCATATCTATCTATTTTCTATGACGCAACCACTTATGATAATTATATTGTAACCAACTCAATTAATAAGATAGGTTATATAAATAGGTTATATAGATCAAGGTCAGATATAACTTATATCTGACCTTGATGATTTAATTACCTTAAAACCTAAAGCACACCTACAAGAAATATAGTAATATTTATTTTATTTATGTATCTCAGTCTATCGATAGATACTCTATAAAATGCGATAGGCGTTAACGTCAAAAATTTAAATAACATTGTAGACTTGTACTACAGATAATATCTTGATTTTCAATTATTTGATTAATCTTTACATGTTAAATTTATAATACTATCGTGCCTCTATTTATATTTTTAACCGTGAATTTTTTACCACATGGTATTATTGTAGTGCATTTAGGGTCGGCTCAAGCAAAAATAGTGCACTAGACGAAATCAAATTTTGCCGCCTTTTAAAATAAAATATTGAGCTCTTATTTTAACTTATCCCCTCTTACCCTATTTTTTATGTGATATGTATATTTATGTATTTTTTATGTATACCTATATATACATAAAAAATATTTTAATTTTTTTTTATTTAAAAAAAAAATAACGAGTAGTGTAAGGAGTTTCAGCTTGGGATATTTATAAATATTTTTATTTTAATGTCATATTTGTATGGTTATGTAATTGATTATAAATTCATTAGGTACACAAATATTTAGATTTTAGAAATGCATATAA